GGTCGACCGTCACGGGATCTGCCAACCTGCCAAATCTGCGAGAAACGAGGTCACTCTGCGTCTGCGTGCTGGTATCGATTTGATGATTCTTATACTGCGAACTCCTCCTCCAGTGCTCCCCGTGCAATGCATGCATCTACGAGTAATCATTCTGGAAACTGGTATCTGGACACTGGTGCCAACACCCATGTCACGTCTGATTATTCTCAGCTACAATCTCCTCATCAATACACCGGTACTGATGCTATTACCGTAGGCAATGGTCAATCCCTACCCATCACACACTCTGGCTCAGGTTTTGTCCATACTCCTAATGGTAAATACCAACTTTCTACTCTTCATTATGTCCCTTCTCTTACCTCCAATCTATTGTTTGTCCATCGATTTACCAAAGAAAACAACTGCACTCTTGTTTTCAATGCCAATGATTTCCAGATAGTGGACAATCCTACCAACCAGGTGCGGTACAAGGGCCTCTGTGAGCATGGGTTATACACACTTCCTTCCAAACTCCCAACCGTTGCGTATCAAGCTATCCAAGAGTCCACATGGCATCGTAGACTCGGTCATCCAGCTCCTGCGATTGCCAAATCTATTTTGTCTTCCTTAGGTTTTCAGTTTTCAGAGCCTTTACATTGTGAATCATGTTATGTCTCTAAGTCCTGTCGTTTACCTTTTGAATTGTTTGAACATAAGGCCACAGTGCCCTTTCAATTAATACATTCTAATGTTTGGGGTCCCACCTCTGTTCCTTCCTGTAGCGGTTTTCGATTTTATATCTCTTTTGTTGATGATTTCAGCAAATTTACCTGGATTTATCCCCTAAAACATAAATCTGAAGCTTATTCTGTTTTTGTGAATTTTGAAAAAATGATTAAAACTCAGTTTAATTCTCACATCAAAATTTTTCGAAGTGATAATGGCAAAGAATTTGTAAATAACGCTTTTGGCCTTTTCCTCCAAACTCTAGGAGTCTTTCATCACACCTCTTGTCCCTACACTCCTGAGCAAAATGGGGTCGCTGAACGGAAACACCGTCATCTCATTGAAACGGTTGTTTCTCTTCTATACGACTCTGCTCTCCCGACTACCTTTTGGGTCGAAGCTCTTGCCACAGAAAACTATCTTATCAACCGTATGCCCACCAAAACTCTCTCCAACAAATCTTGTAATACCCTAATCCGTCCAGGTCTGCAGCCCTTTTCGGACTAAAGTATAAACTTGGTATTCGTAAACATTTAAAATATTTCAAATATTTAAAACTTTATTTCATAATAAATAATTCAAAATAGTAACGGAGTAATTTAATGTTGCGGAAGCTTAATAAAACATAATACAAACATAATTAATTTTTGTCTTTTCAACAGTAATTTTAATGCAAAACACACATTCGTCCGATCTTTTCGTCCCATCTGCCTCCAGGAAATCATTTCTTCATTCTTTTTGTTTACTTGCGTGTAGCAAATAAAACATACTACACGCTCAGCGTTTAAGCTGAGTAAGCATATCTAATGCGTCGAACATCCATATAAACTGAATCTAAATTCATAATCAAAATCATTTGATATCATGCACATAATGTTCAGTTCAGGTACTCAATAATCATAAGTCAATATTCAACATTCATTATATTATTTTCACATTTTATCCGTCATTCATAATAACCACAATATTCAATTCAATATTTATTCATATTCAATATTCAACCATATCCTTATACTATACTTAGTCTAAGGCCAATCACTTTAATATTTGTCAACCCTTAAATGAATTCTAGTTTAAATTATTAAACTATATTCCAATATAAAGTACTCCTAAATAATCCTTAAGCTAGGCCTAGTTTAAGATAAAAGGGTTTTGAAAATCTTAAACTTACCTTCACTTAAAGCCAACCAAAAATCGACAGCGTAGTGTTCACTGTTGGGTGGGTGGTACCCCCAAACGAGTAGGTACTCAAGTTTGGTTCTTGGATCCCGTACGTACGTTTTAACCCTAGCCACCGGAGTTCATACCCACAAGGCCTAACTTAAATAGGTATATCTTAGAGGTCTTCTAGATACCTTTCAAATCAACATTAATATGGGTATATCTTAGAGGTCTTCTAGATACCCTTAACAATACATTTTACTTTCACAATCATCAATATATTCATTATGATTTAATCATTCACAATTATCATTTTTAATCAGAATATTCATCAAGATTTAATCATCATAATAATCAATCAATAATCATTACCATAATCATCAATCAACATAATATTCAATAACAATTAGCGGCCTAGCTTCGGGTGTTAACACCCTAACTTACCGTCATGAATCACATAACATTTTTATTTGTTAAAAACATCATTTTTGTTATGGTATATCATTTTTCCAATGATCATAATCAATTGGTGGATTTTAGAGTATATATTTTCCGAATATTTTCGGAACAGGATCTGGAGTTAAGAAAAATCGATTTTTATTTTTAAAAATAATCATTTAATACCTAAAAATCGTTTTTTATATTTAAAATAATCCATTAATAGCTAAAAATCGATTTTTATATTTTAAATAATCAATTAATTGCTAAAAGTCGATTTTTATATTTTAAATAATCAATTAATTGCTAAAAATCGATTTTTATATTTTAAATAATCAATTAATTGCTAAAAATCGATTTTTATATTTTAAATAATCAATTAATTGCTAAAAATCGATTTTTATATTTTAAATAATCAATTAATTGCTAAAAATCGATTTTTAAAATATAAATAATCGATTAATTCATAAAAAATCGATTTTTACAATTTAAATAATCCATTAATTCATAATAATCGATTTTTACAATTTAAATAATCAATTAATTCACATTAATCGATTTTTATAATTAAAATAATCGATTAATAACGTTGAATCGATTTTTATGATTAAAATAATCGATTATTATTATTTTTAAATATACTGACTATCTGAACAAATTTTTAATCGATTATTAGGAAGGAAATAATCGATTTTCGGCCACTGTTCATCATCTTCTTCCTCTGTTCAATTTTTAACATTATCATTTTTAATTACCAAACTTCAATTAAATTATATAGGAATGTTCCCCAATATTCACAGATCATTTTAGAGTCATTAATTTGTAGTTTTAACAACAATTTCTTGGTTTATGATTCTTGGTTCTTCAAACATGTCAAACATAAAACTCAACCAAACGACCGTTTATGAACGTAAAAACGATCTATACAAACATTCTAATCACTAGATATATCTACGGGCTTACCTCGAAGCGTAATGGAGGTTTTGGGAATTTTCCGGCGAAACTTCCGGCAAGGATTGTGGCTATCTCCGGCGACCTCACACCAATATGACAGCACCACTGCGTTCTACACACTCAAAGCTAACTCTCAGAAGCAATTTGGGAAGAAATGGTGAAGAATTGGGTAGGAAGAGGTGGTCCTTATATAGCCTTAGTGAAGAGGAAACAGACACGGTGATGACCTCCTTTCGACTGTTTCGGCGGCTGAGTGGAGTGGGCTGCTATCTTCTCCGATTCTAAACGTAAGTCCCTGATTGGGACTAATTTGGTCCCAGTCGGGGAACACTTTTTGGTCCAACTTTCTCCGAATTGAAATCC